CTGTTTGTGCTGAGCAGATAGAGCAATGTTGTATGGCTGATCTAACGCTGAAAATTTGTTGCTGTGCTCCTTCTGCTTAGTCTGCTTTATGCCTTTATCAAGCTGAAAGCCTTTTGAAGTCTGTGGGTCATTTTCTTTTCTTCATATTGTATGTTGTTTCTAAATGAATTAGCTTCTAAGCTAATCTGTCACAGATTTAATTATAGCACACCATCACAAGGGACTTGCTTTTTCCTGATACCAAGCAAGGAACTTTATTGTGTAAGGAAAACAGTTGTGTACTTGATTCTAGTTTGATCTTCCGGTTTCTCTGTTTCATTGTGGAGCTCCTCAGTCTTTACTTGCTAGAAGATTAAAGTAAAAGGTATCTGTATAAAAAGAGTGGTTGTGTGTATGTCTTCTGACCACAAGAGTATGCGACACCGTGAAAATGGCAGAAATTCTTTCCTGCGCTTCACAGAAGAGGACTTATATCAAGTGTCTTGGATTCCTCCTCCGTACTAGGCCACCACCTTAAGTCAAGGAGAGAGTCTTATTATAACTTTTTAACCTCATCTTCTGTACTACTTTCTTCCTGAAGTCTTCTCACGTGGACATGAGCCTCTTAATATTAATACTCCTGCTCTGCTCACAGACATGTTGTTGAGAGAGGGTCGTCTATGTCCAACAACACTTTCTTGCTGTTATTTTTCCTACCCCCTATTTTCTTTCCTTGATTCCAAGGCTGTTTTGTTATATTTACTGTGATGAAAGGTTTGGGATTACTTCTTCCCTCACTTTGCTAACAATATACCAAAAACTACACTTCTTCCCTCTGTAGCTTGTTCTATAACATCCTTTATGTAGGGATGATTTTGGGTTCCAGTAAATATTGTGGTATCCTCTTTGCATTAGGCTCAGGGTTTGCCAGACCTTTGTACAGATGTTATGTAGATAATATTCTGTGTGAACATTAGGAGTAGGGGAGAGATGCTTGGTGAAAGGTTTGCTGTTTTCTTCTCCTCATCCTGTAGAAGGTGCTTTCTTTAGTTATATGGGCAAATAAGTGTTTTTTCTGTAAACATGGTCCCTTCCCGAACCTGAACTATTTGTTGAATTGTGTTATCAATCTCTGAGATGATCAGCTACTTCTGATTATCCTGCTGAGAGAAGTGCTCAAGAGTTTAAAGCCAGGAATCAGTACTAGCTTTACTTCTGGTAAATATGATGGCAGTTTCTGTACCTGAATGTCCAGGTGCAGGATTCCCAAGGGGAATAAGCCAATAGATCTTCCTTCTTGCTCTTCCTTCTCTCTCATTCTTGCTCTGTTTTTTTCCATCTTAAAAAACCAAAGTACTGTAAGTGGTCTATGCCACAGAAATATGTTTGTCACACTGCATCACTTTGAACTGCATAACTTCAAACAAAATCAGTGCTTTGATAACTTGATTTGAAAGGGTTGTAGAAATAGCCATCATTATGAATCACAACAGATAGGAATGGAAAAGATGGTGATTTTCAAATAGCAAAGCTTGTAAAGTAGGGGAAAATGTAAGGTGGGTTCCAGTGCCACATTCTCATCTGAAAAAACCCAACCGTATAACTGTTATGTAGCTTTGCAGAATATGATTTCTTGAGGGTGGGAAGAGGAATGAGAAACACTCTGTGTAAAATATGTGTTTCTGAGGAGCAAGGACACAAATGTGGGCTCAGGAAAGGGCTGTAACGAGGGAGAAAGCAATGTGTGCTGCTTGGGTAAGAATTTCTTCCACTTTCTCCTCTTCATAGAACTACCCTTCCTGAAGATGAAGGGCATCCCAGATTGCTTGCTGAGACCCTCCTACCCCAGAGATCTTCTTGCAGTTCTTATGGGTTGGACATAGGGAGGAGGAGAAAAAACTCCCCCTCACCCCCAGCACTTCTGTGCTTTGTCATTGCTCTCCTGGGAAAACTCTGTCCATGAACTGGAATGAGTTGCTGCCTCTAAGAGGCTGCAAGAAATTAGGCCTTAAAATGGTGACTTCTCAACTGCAAATACTTTCGTTTAGGATGTTGACAATTCAAATTGAACTTCAGTTTATTCTTGCCTTCAGTCGAACACATAGGAGCTTGGGCATTGAGACAAACTATCAGCTTGTGGAGTCTCAGAGGATGCACAGTGATAGTTAGGTAAAATCAGTGTGTCCTTTTCCATCCTCATACCCAGACAAGTAAGTATTGGCTAGTGGGGACTGTTTATAAAGGTTTCAGTGACACTGAGTTGGGAGACTTCATTTGCATTCAGACACAGCTTTACCACTAGTACTTCCTAGCTGCTCCAAACACACTGAGCTAGAAAATACATGTCATTTAGTAGTCTCTGTTTCATCCAAGGTGAGGTAATGGCTGTATGTAAGGAAAGCTCAGATTGGAGGTACTTGATGTGTACAGGCAGATACTTCAGTGTTTTTTGGTGACAGGAAATTCAGAGGCAGCTAGTAAGGAGAAAGATTCAAACCCTTCACTTCTTTCAGCAAGGCTGAGGCAGAAGAATGTGCTGTACTGAGATGCTGCTAACAAACACCCTCTCTGAGGGCTAGTTCCCATTTAGTTTGGGAAAGGAGAATGTTTCCTTTACAGAGGGGCAAGATTTACCTCTGTTGTGCTTTAAAAAACGTGGGCTCCTTAGCAACAGTTTGAGTACCTTCTGCAAGCATCTTCCAGGGCTACTAGTCAGGTGAGTGTCGTGTCAGACAAACAGGGCTGGTATTTCATGTCTCATCAGCTCTTCAAAACCTTCACCTCTATGTATAAATGCATTTAAAAACGTGAAAAAAAAAAATCTATGTGTACTGCATAGTACTGATACTGGGCTACCAGGTGTGCCAGCTGACTTCGGAACAGCATAGTGGAGAGGGACTGCCTGGAAATTTTTTAACTGACCACTGAGGAAACTGCTTTTTTTTTAAAGAAAGGATAAGAACTTGACAGAAAAGACAGGAAAATGCATGTTTTGCACTGAGGGAAATAGGAAGTTGTTGGTTTTTAAGTTCTGATCCCAAGTCACAATCTTAGGTCATCTTTTTTTTTAGTATCATGCTGCTGAATTACTTGAATTTACTCTACCCTTATAAAAGTGATACCTGCATTCTTTCTGCCCTAAAATACTGCTTTGCAAAAAATGCTGCTAATATTTACCATACCAAAAATTATTTTTACGATGATAATAGTTTACTGTAATAATGTTTGGGTTGTCTGTTTGATTATTAGCTGAGATCACATGTTTGCATTATGTATGTTGAGTTATACCGCTTAAAATACATGTTTATACTTACGTTCTGGTCTTATAAAGGGTAAAGGAGGAGACATTTAACATAATTATCTCTTTCATCAACTGACCTGTTTATATATTTGCCTTTTTCAAGAAACTGCATATCCTCGCTTCAAAAAAAAAGGGGAGGGGAAGAGAGAGATGAGCACAGGACATGTCCCACACTGATTCACTTGACAGTGCATATTGCAGAGAATCAGTGGCCAAATGGCTCTGGAGTGTGGAAGAGGAGGAAGTGATCTAATTGTATTGGTCAGATTATTGTAATTATTTTGATTAGATCAGAGGGGGCATGGTAACATCAGTTGATGTGAGGAAGGAGGAGTTCAGTGTATGCTTAGAGTATCTGAGCTGCAATCTCTCCTCAAATCAGGGTCAGCTCTACTGGGGAGAAAAGATGCCTTCAGTGGGACAAGTTACATAATTACACTAAATGAAATCAGTTATATTGACAAAAGTAGTCAGTCAATTGACTTCTACCTGAAAAGTTCTGTTTAAGTAATATTTTTGCTAGAAAAGTGATGTACAAGGATTTTGCTAATTGGCATTTCTAACTAGCTACAGCAGAGACCACCTGAGCATACATCACTTGCTGCAGCAGAGCTCTAGAGCTGTGGATGTAGCTGTAAATGTAATATAGGGACTGGCATTTGAAGGAAAAGCAGAAATACCATCACTGTTTGTGCTGTGTCAAAGAGGTGGTGTTAACAACCGCAGACATCTTGTATCTTACATTTTTAGCCTCACTTCCTGAGCAGATTGTTTAATGTGACTGTGCTATCTGTCTTTAATCATCCACTCTAATATTAATTGAACCTGTTGGCTCATTTTAGTCACTACTGAAAGACAGAGGTGTCAAGCACATTGAGGTTTTATGTGTTTTGTGAAAACAGGTGGTCAGGTGAAGGAGAGCTCTGCATTAGTTCTTTCCAACTAAAGCTGCAGCTTTTGAATACATTGTTTTACCCCAGGGACTCCACACAAGAGGGCATGGGAAGAGGCAAGGGATCCAGCTGTGAAAAAAGTACAGGCAGACCTCAGACCTTGTAAGACACAGGGTAATCCAATCGTACGGAAAAAAAAAACCCTGCTGGAAACTGAGCTGTGTCGCTGCTGCTAGTCAAGGACTACTCATTCTCAGTGTGACTGCTGCTCACAGTTATTATTCATGGTCTGACTGTGGTTTGCCTTGGCTGTGCTAATTGTGTGGCTGAATCCTACCTGCCAAGTCAGCATCCCCCCTGGCTGTCAGCAGGAGCTGGCTTGCGCTCCTTCAGGCAGGCAGTGCCGGCCCATTCTGTTGTGGGGAAAATGGGAGCTCTCTGGAGCAAGCTCATAATACTTCTGTGGTCTGCTGTTTTCTGTCTAACCTTCAGGGCATGGCTTTCAGATGGCCATGGCTTTTAAATGCCCAGTGTCTCAAAGTAAGTGTTGTGCCTTTTTTTCTTGAGAAGTGGTAAGTATCCTTTGACTGCTGTCCCAACTCTTTGTCAAGATGCCCAAGCTAGTTAGTGTGTGCTTTTTCAGCACTAGTTTAAGAATACCTATATTTATTCCTTTATTTTTTAGGGAATGAGAAATATCTCATTGGTAAAATAAATAAAACTTTAAAAGGGTCTCAGATGAAGCAATAATTACTTTTCTGACTCCATCTCGAGTGTGTACCTCTGGCATGATGTACAAACCCAGACTTTTCTCCTCTCTCCTCTAGGCTGTCAGCGCTCCATAGGTTTGTCCAATGGAAAAGCCAAGGTGTGCAGCTACAGTGGTTGGTATTACTGCAGCACTTGCCACGTGGATGACAGCTTCCTCATCCCTGCACGGCTGGTTCATAACTGGGACACTTCCAAATACAAGGTAATCTCCCTGCAGGTTGGTTTGCTAGCAAGTGAACTGAATTGCTTTTTAGATAGAAACACAGACTTGTCAGCAGCCTGGAGGTTACAGGTATTGACTGTTCATAGTCTTTTTTGTCCCTCTTGTCAGAATGAGCCAGGCTCTCTCAATATCATCACAGTTTCCTAAGCCAGACCCAAGGTGTTCCTCCACAGGAGTAGCCATGCTCCTCTTTCTTGGTGGCACCTTTTTCATCATATCTGGTTGTTCAAGAGACAGGGAGAGGTAGCACACTGCAACCTCTCTTTTACTCCTAATCTTTGCAGTTGTTTGGACCCTTGAGGAGTACCTGTTTCATGAGCACCAGGGTCTAAGGATTGGCACTGCTCAGTGGTGGATGCTAAACTGTGGAAATGCCCACAGGAAACTGGCTTACCCAAACGCAGTGTTTGTGAGGCACAGTGTGTCCTGTCTCTTGGCATGAACGTTTCGAGGACATTAGAAGGACATTGGACCAGACAGACAAAAGTAACATAAGGAGAAAATTCCACAGTTGTTCACTTGCCACACAAGAGCTTTTCTAAAACTTTTGTAATATGCTATTTGCTGCTGCCTCGGTGGCTGGTTGCTAGCTAGGGGCAACTGATTACATACCTCAAAGCACTGTGCCAGCAAAGACAGTAGCAGTGTTGTTTTGCCATCTTAGGCAGTATATGCTGAAAGAATAACAAACTCATAAGGAATCCAGACCATGCTAGAGCTTCAGACCTAGCAGCCACTGTTAGGAGAGGTTGTTTGATGTTTTGTGTCTGCAAATATTATTATTATGTGCTATTTGAAAAGGAAAAAATAACCAGTAAATGCCCTATTAGAGGAAAAGCAGGTCTCTCTTGAAGAAAATCTGTCAGACGGGGATATTATTAAAAGATAACCAGAGCCTGCCATCAGGAAAATGACAGTTTTGCGCTGTGAAATGCAAGATTCTTCAGAGTTACAAAGCTCCTCTGTGTAAAGACAAAAAACCCTCCCATGCCTAGAAGTTAGGAATAAATATTGAAAAGTTCTTTCTTTGGATGCTTTTACCAAGGACTAAACTTGCTGGCCCACAGTAGTATAGGTAGCCCTGATAAGGGACTAGTAGTTGGTAAGGCACAGACCTCGCATCAAGCTGTCATTAATACTGCCAAAAAAATTAACTGGTTTTTTTCTAAACCTGCAGGGTAAAAACTGTGCTCTGTTTCCTGTAGTCTTCATATGGGCAACTGAAGCATAAAGAAAATGGAACTTTCAAGCTTAAGCATTCATTAAAAACTTAATCTGCTGTCATCTCACTATAATACTTTTTGTAGACAGAACAGATACAAGGTGGCTTGGGAACACACAAATTCTGTGCAGATACTTCACGAGTCTTTGTGCCAAAATGCTACAGCATCCCCAACTATTAGTACAGAAATTAAGACAGGGTGGGAAAGTTAAGAGGACATAATCTGCCATGGTGGCAGTGTGAGAACTAAGTTCACGTCACTGGTTGGATCTCCTCAACTCCATCCCATCCACGTATAGATTTAAAATAATAAGCAGTTTCTCTTCGGTTTTCCCCGTTCTCTTCAGTTCTGCATACATGTGCTTTTATTTCCATCCATGCTATCTATACCTCTCTGGGAACTAAGCGTTGCTTTTCTGAGATAGAGTATATATTTTCCTGCACTTTCACATCTGTATCTCCTTTCTCCATTCAGAGATAAAAGTTTGGTGTTTATTTCAGCTTAGTTCTGGCTGCTGTGCTTAATAGTTGTAATGAGGCTGCATAATTCCTTAGTAGTGTAATGATCAAATGTGCAATCCCAAGCACAAGTAGAAGCTGGGAACCATAGTGGTTTCTGGGGTCTATCCTATCTGTTTCTGGCAAAGCAAGCACCTGTAGGTACTGTAGGACATGAGCTTTTACAGTGTAATTGGGCATGTTTGTCTTTCAAGTTTCATGGTCTCAGTATCTGAGCAGCAGCTGTAAACTGTTACATCAATTAAATAAGTTTTGAAATTGAGAGGTTCTTGTCTGCTTTTGGCAAGACATGTCGTGAAAGAGCAGAAGCAGTAAAAATCTGTGGAGTTGTCTCTTCCCATAACCCAGGATCTTGAAAAACAACAAATACACTGAACACCTGGAAGCACATGTGTAGGAAAAGAAAAATCCTCTTGGCTGCAATAGAAGCTCTTTGAAAGGACTTGGCAGTTAGGTACATTTCTCCTGTCATAACCAAACCAGCAGCTCAGTCCCCAGGTTCACTTTTTTCCCCCCGTCTCCCTACTGTTTTCATATTTGTGTTTTTCGTGTGTTTGGTAGAAGGGAAAAGAGGTGATTTTGCAAACACCCTTTCTTCCTTTTACTTAGGCCAAATGTTTTCCCTGTTTGCATGCAAAACTCTCTAAGTATTGCAGTTTGGTTCAGGTGGTTTTCAGCCTGCGCAAAATGCCAGACAAACACAGCAGGAAATGAACTCCCTGTGCCAGAAGGCTCCAAGGGAGGCTGACTTCTGGTAAATTGAATTCCGAACTCTAAGTTTGCAGACTCTAGAAAGGAAAGGTCTGGAAAATGTTAGCATCCATCCTTGTATGACATTTAAAGCTAAAACCCTGTTGCCCTTTGCATCTTCTCGATCCTTCTGGCTGATTTAATAGGATTGTCTTGTCTGCCCAGTAAAACTGGGGGACTGTGAATAGGCTAGGACATATGCTAGAATATTGGCTGGTAGCAAGCTGAATTACTGTCACTGCTGACCCTTCCCACTTTAAAACTGTATTTCATCTTCTTTTAACTTCGCTATGGTTGGCAATGTGAGTTAATGTTTTACAAGACCTGTGTGCCTGTGTCAAGCGTGCAGAGTGAACTGACACCCATCTGTCAGCCAGTGATGCTGGGCAAAGCTACTTTTCCTGCAGTCCGAACTCCAGGGGTACATTGTATTGGCAAGGAGAGAGAAAGCTTTGCTTTTCTCCTCTCTCCTCAAGGGCTGAGTTCAGACCATGCAGCACCAGAGCTGCACAGTAATGCTTTGTCATCATAGTGCACATGTATGGCAGTCACTCAGGGACCTCAATTGTGGCATCTTTTTGTTGCTGTACTCAGGAGGGATGCCCCACACAGAGTACAGGTGTGCACAAGCGTGGGTGTAGTAATTGGACAGTAACAGCTCTTCAGTTCCCAAGACTGGTGGATGAGGAGCAGGGCAGGTGGATGAGGAGCCCATCACTTCAGCAGAGGTTTAAAGCAAGGAGATAGACAAAGACATCGCTGAGCACCAGGTCCTCCTGGTGGGAGGTGCTAGTCACTGTACCAAGCATTCACATGCCTTCCAGGGAATCCCTGAATACATAGCTTAATTTGCTAGTTGGTGGAAGAGGACTATATTTGCTATAGAAACAGCATTTGTCAGGGGATTGCTGAGATATTGCACTCAAATGGTTTAATGATTGTAAAAGCAGGTTGTTTAACTGCAGTCTCTTTTATGCACTTCAGTAAACATAATAAAGTATCAACATTGCTAGTGTTAGAAAACTTGATGTACTTGGAGTTTGTAGAGTTTTGTTCTACAAAATCCAAGTTACCTGTGTTGCTCCATGTTACTTCTGATTCCACTCAGCACAGTTCCTTGTACGTGCATGATACTTGAAAAGTAAAAAAAAAAGAAATTAGTGAGATGTGTAGATGAGATATTTAATACAGCTTCAGTGCCTGGGAAACCTGTGGAGTTATGGTCTGCTGTATGTATAATTACACATTGTGTTATCTGTGTAGTTATTGGTGGGAAGGCTGGCCTTGGCATTATTTCTTATATTTTTATTACGCGTTGTGAAAAGGTTACATTTGGGACTGGCTTTCCATGTCAGTGGCTAGTAACTAGTGTTGGTTAGTAATTAGTTTGTTAAGTCATGCTGTTTGTAAGGGTGCATATTGCTTTTTTGCTTACTTCTTACCTTGCTGCACCAGAAGGGAAATAACTTCCTAAATCTCAAGGGACTGTGGTCAGGCAGGGCTGTGACCTTTCTACTTTTGTTAGCTTAATTCATCCCTCCCTCGACTCGGTGTAAACACTGATTTAAAGGCCCAGGAGGACTAATTGAATCGTGGAACCAGTAGTATTTGTGTAGCACAGTTTCAAGTGATTTGCAGCTCATTTAAGGTAATCCCTTCTTCTCTTTTCCAGTCGTGACAAAATGCAGAAATAATGAATGAGGGAGAATTTGGTCTTCTCACCTCAGAAACAGGAGTATTTTTTCTAGTGGAACAAAAATCCCATGAATTTATCAAGATTACAGTAGCTCTTTGCAGGTGGAGATAGAACAGGGCACTATAATGAAAAAGCATAAGAAAAACTTCTTGCAGATGAAATATTGGGAATGAGTAATACCAACGAAATTCAGTTTTATTTATCTGCATTTTAAAAACCACAACAACTTGCTTCTTGTCAAAAAGAAAACAGCAAACAAACAGAAAAATAGTAGCAGGGAAGAAGCTTGGTAATCGAATTTTAGACTTGCAAAACACCTGGTAAGCTGTGTAACTCTGCAGCAAAAGGCTGCAGATATCACTGTACATTGGGAAAGTAAGCACTTATACACTCAATTTGGAGGCATTTGATGAAGTTTGACTTGGCTATAAGCAGAGAGAGCTGGACCACTGTCATTTGTAAGTGATAACAGAGTAAGTTTTCAGATGCATAGAGTAACTCCGATCACAGAGGGGAAGATCTGCTTTAAAAGAGCTGAGAGGAAAGCCTCACTAAACTGCTTTATTTTTCAGGTATCAAAGCAAGCCAAAGAGTTCCTGGAATATGTTTATGAGGAGCCATTGATTGATATCCAGCAGGAAAATCCCATGCTGTACAAGCATGCTGAACCTCTGGCAACTGTTGTCCGCCTGAGACAGCAGCTAAAATCTCTGCGAGCCTACTTGTTCAGCTGCAGAGCTGCAGTGGCTGAAGATCTGCGTAGAAGGTAAGAACAACAGACAGCACACAGCACAGGGATGTAGTTTCCTTGTTGCTTCCCCCACGCACTTTTTGTTTTTTCTCACAGTCTAGTTCTGAAGGTGTTACTCATTTAGAAAGGCGTTGTGTTTGTATCTGACTTCCCTAAGCAGCTGGGTTATCCTCTGGCAAAGAAGATTATTTTATAGGGTCTGAATATCTGGAGCTGTTCTTGACAGCTATCAGTCTAGGAGGTCACACATTGTGGTGAACATCTTTTATTCCTCCTCAGGTTTCCTGACTGTGTGTGATTATTTTCAGTCAGGTGAGATATCTCATGTTCCCTACCATGGCATCACAGTGTAGTCGCCACCGCTGGGACCTTTGAAACACCTCACACTGTGGCAAAGCATGAGAGGGGCCCGAGTCAATCACCTGTCCAGTGCTTCTGCCTTCTTCATGAGATGACCTCACCCAGAGGCAGAGGCCAGATGTAGTCCCTCAGCACATGACCCAGCATGTGATTTATGTGACACCAGAGCAGTTGGGCTCTTTCTCAGTTGGTATCCGTGACATGGCTGTGCTGAATGTTTTGTTTATTGGAAAACACATGGTCATAGCCCAGCAAAAGGTGTTTCATATTGTGTTTGCTGTAGTGGAAATAGTGATTCTATAAAACATGAACTTCATTTTAGAAGTGCTGTATCTTAATCAATTCAGCTACTTCTGTATTTTTCTAACAAGCTAAAAATTATCAATCTTTTTAAAATCATCAGGCCACAGTTGTGACCTTAAAAAGCCAAGTAACTTTTGTTGTGGATCTCCAAAAGAGATGGGGAGATGTGTCTGTCGTGCCATGCTGTGAGGTGAGCAGCTCTAGGCACATGCAGCTGACCTTATGCATCTGTAAGCATTTGTACACCCCGGTTTTTAAGACAAGACTGCAAGTAAGAAAGCCACTGCTTTGAAATTGTGAGCTGCTGAAGGGCAAGAAAGCAGGTGACATCAGTGACTGTATTTTGAGCATGGTATTTTAGGGACCTGAATTCTCTGGAAGGAAGAGGAGGCTGCACTAGTGCCTTTATCCCAGGTAAGGAGAGCTGGTCTGCCATTTGGTGCATAACCTAAGTCATTGCTTTGGTGAACTACCTAGAAGAACTAAGAGAAGGATACAGCAACAGGTTTCTGGAGAGTTCTTGTGTCAGACCCACTTAATATGTGCTTATGTTTTACTACTCAATTGCTATTATTTATTAGGGCAGCTTACAGCATTTTAAAATTTAGGATGGTTCTTCTTTTATTCTAGAGGATGGTGTTATCTTGCACAGCTGTTTTCCTGTTCAGCTATAATAACTTTTCTATGCCATCCTCTGCAACAGCAAAAAGACTAAAAGGAAAATAAGATTTGTGAAGGCTGCTGTTCAGAAGTGGCAGAAAGGAAGTGATGCGTTCTGATTAATGTTGAAGAAAATAATTTTCTGATTAAAATAGACAGAATGAGGCAGGACACTGAATGGACTTGGTTAAGAGAGTAAAAGAAGAGAGTTCAAATGAGGCCTAAGCAGAGAAATCAATAAACTAGAGAAAAAAAAATAAAAAAAAAAGGGATGAGGGAAACCCACGAAAAGGAGATTCAAAGAGGGAAGGGATCTCACGAAATTAGGAGTTAATGGAGAAACCAGGACAAAGAGGGAACCCCAAAACCTTCCTCCAAAAATGAGACGTGACAAGTTCTGAGGAAATGGATGGAAGAGAGAATGGACAAAAATTATCACAGAAATGTGAGCATGGTCTTTTCTTGGAGCATGGAGGAAAGAGAAATGTCCCTATATCAAAATGAAACACCCAGAACGGCAGATGGGGAAACTGGGAAAAAATACTCCAAATGCTCCCTTTTCTTATCTGAGGGTTCCTTCACACTGTCTCCAACTAAAGCTCTCTGTGGTGGAGGGAAGGACCCCCAGCCCAAGAGGGGTTTGGTTTTGTGCTAGGGAAGCATCTCCAGTTTGGTAGGACTTGTTAGAAGTGTAAAAGCCACTGAAGGAATGTATAAAAAAGACCTTAGAGTCCAGCCCCTTCTTGGTCTGTGAAGTGGATTTGGTGGTCAATTGGTCCCTCAGATCTCCCTTAAGAGGTTTGAAGATACGAAAAGAAAGAAAAGTTCTTTTTCCCAGAAGGAGTTATTCCTTGCTCAAAGTGCTCTCAGTGGTTTTGCTTTCTTCATCTAGTATCCCACTGTGCAGACACTATCAATGTGATGATTTTATAGAGCGCAGCTGAAAAGTAAACAAAGAAAATATGTGATTTAAATTTTCCTTTGGTTCATCACATGGGCAAGTTGCAAGAAAAGGAGGTGTTAAAACAATATGGTGAGACAGCATTCCTAAATTTAGTACTCTTTGCTAATTAGAAATGAAAGACTGGGAGAGAGAATCCAGTTATCTGTCCTGCTCTGAAAACATTCTTTCTCTCCTTGGTCTCCACCTTAGTATATGAATAACTATTAATCACAAGAAAGTGAACACAGCATCTTGAAGACCTGTCAGACCCATATAAACAGACTGAAACAAACTGTTAATATTGCTGTCTACAGAGAACTAAAAACAGACTGATTAATTGTATTGGCACCTTGCTGCCTCTGGGACACTGATAGAGCCTGCCTTATTAGGGAAAAGCAGATCACTCTGAGGTTTCTTTTATTAATACTATTTGCATTATCATCTACTTTAAATCTATACCCTGCTCTTCAGCCCAGATCACAAAATGAAGACGGCAATGAAGTTGGAAACTCTTGGTGTCCTCTGTGAAGACAAAACTGTTTACAGTGCTTACAGTCACTTTTTCTGAAGACTTCCAGATGGCTATAAACCAGGTTAGCTCAGGATCCAGTTGGTTTAAATGTGGAAATGTTATTTATATTGTTTGGGGTACATAGGTACTTTAAGAACTTTGAAACTTGGCATCTAGCAGAGAACTCAGGGCTGGTACCTCATTGTGAACTTTGAAGAAGCAAGTGACTAAGTAGAAAAGAAGGAAGGAAGAAAGGAAAAGACACAGAAGAAATCCTGAAAGTAGCTAGAAGGCTCACAATAAAAATGGTCTTCATCAGTTACAGTAATTTATTCTCACCTATTGTTCCACTGGATACTAAACTCTTTTTATATTTCAAGGGAAAAAATAAGGAACCTGGACTTGGCTGGGAGGTGAAATAAGGCCCTCCACCGGTGTGTATCCACAGTGTTCCTCTGATATTAGCCAGATGAGACTCTGGCCCTGTTGCTGAGCTCCCTGTTTTACAAGGGATCTTGTTATGCCTGGTTTGCTGTAACTGTCACCTCAGCATTGCAACACACGTCATTTGCCTTAACGTCTTTACTCAACAAGTTCTCGCTTGTTTTGGTAGCTTTGCTTGTGTGGATGCTGTTCAGGCAAAACCATACAAGACTTAAACCTAGAGCCAAACCTAGAGCCAACACAGAATTAGTACAAGTGGAACTGTACAGATCCCACCACCACCTGCAGATTGTAAGATGTTAAATGAATGGCACAGACAAACAAGATGGATTCAATAAAATTGATGGCTGGGAAACAGCGAGAATCTCCAAGTCCATTAAATAACGAGGGTATTCTGTGAAACCGTGCTGAATGATGCAAGTTCTGTTCTGGATTTGCGTTGTTCTTGTCATGATTGCAAGTTCTTCGGGTCAAGGAGCTGTCACAATGATTTTTTTGGATGGCTCTGGCTACCTCCATGTCTCCTGCAGGGTATTCCAGGTCAGCCTTGACTCTGGGGAGCCCTCTGGGCTCTCTGCTCTCTCAGCTATACATCTTATCTTGCAGTTCAGGTGCTGCTAGCCCAGAGACTTTAGGCCAATGGCAGTGACACAAGGTAAATGTTCTGTAGCACATTCCCTTATGCGTTAGTGCTTGTTGCAGTGCCCTCGTTTTGTGAGTGAATCTGAATGGTGATGAGAAACTAAATGGAAAAATTTCCCTCTTGTTACTCATCTCTGCCTGATACCTGATTTGTCTGTCAGCTCCAGGACAGCAATACATCAGTGCTGGATACATTACTTAGCATCTTACAGGAAGACCAAATTAGAGCTTGCTGTTGCTGCAGGGTGTTAAAGGTGCACCTCCAGTGCTGCAGACCTGTGGTCCTGGCTGAGCCTGCTGGTCTGTCAGCATGAAGTGAAACAAGCCCAAATTCAGTAATGCTGAACAATAGAGTCCTGTCACTTCCTACAGTGAGGCCTTAGACATATCACTTCTGACACAGGAGTAGATTACTTTCAAAATATTTGTGTGGCAATTGGGGAACCTGTCTAAACACATTGCAGGAATCCTGATTGATCTTATGCAATCACTATACCACCAAATACCTCATGTATGTGAAGCTGGGGCTATGTCATCTTTCGGACCAAGGACCACAGAAGGTCACTAAGTCATGTCCAGACTGTCAAAGGGGACTGTTTTCTTCGTTTTCTTTGCAATGGTTAGGCCATTTGGAGAGTGGAAAATTCCAAAACAGGAGAACAAAGACACAGTTTGTGAAAGCAGTAAACTGCAAAAAGAAAGTTTGAGCAGGAAAGGAACAGAAGGATGTGGTTTCATAGCACTTGGGGCTCTGAGATAATGGCAAGACCAACAGAAGAAGAAAATTTATTGCACAGGTGATTGGAAAGAGGACAAGAGGGAAGCTCAATTCAAAGAGGATATCTGGATATCCTGAGAGGAGCCAATGTTAAGACAAAACATCACTCCAAAGTCCATTCACTTAAGAGTTGGACTGAATGATCCTTGTGGGTCCCTTTCAACGTAGAGTGTTCTGTGAAAGTGAGGAAAGGTGAGAAAATAAATGCAGAGAAGTATGCACAAACTATTTGTTTTGTGTGGATCCTGCATGTGTGTAGTCATTACAGTGCCTGAAATAAAGCATGCCTCTTGATGGAGTTTTTACAGACACCTCCATCTCTTCAACTCTTTTCCCTTTTGGATGAAGTAACTATGTATGCAGAGTTCTTGCAA